TTACCACCCTGGTTTCCTGGCTGCTCAGAAGCTGCAGGAAAGCAGAGGAGCGCTTACAACTCATTGGGCCTCGCCTCCATAACGGCAAATAAACTCCTTTCATTACATGTATCATTATTACTAAAGGAGGCAGAGGAATAATTAAACATGAGACACACCGAGCAACAGAGAGCAGGAGAGTGGGAAGGAGAGAGAGAAGTCATCAGTAAGTGCTAAACTAAAGAAACTAGCAAATCTGAATTGCATGTAAAGAATAGAAAAACCCATCAACCGAAAGGAGACAATATGTTTATCGCAACACAGCAATAAAGGCCCTGTTAAGCTATAAAGGCTTTCTGTCTTAAATGGTTACAGGAAGTTTTGAGTTTGTATTAACACGTAATGCAGTGACTTTGAAATTGCAAACGGGAGCAACTTAAAAAAAGGCAGGTATAGTCAATTCTATCAAACAGAGGGAATCTGAAATAAAGGTCTGTCTCTAATAAAGGCCAGTTACCTTCTGCAGTTGAGGTAAATAAAGGCCCCGGTCACTTTTTGAGGAAATACAGGAATTGAAAACTGTTGTAGATCCCAGACAGCGGCTGCGCATTGTGTGAGACAAAATAAGAAGGATATTCTGTCGCTTGTAACTTTCTCTCAGAGTAATAATTTTACAAGTAAATATAGCCAAAATTCACAACACAGACTTTATCTTATGTGTGTGATGATGTTGTCAGACTATGCGGCAGTCATAAAATCAGGATTTTAGCAGTTCAGAGCAGCAGGTTAGTAATGGCTTGAAAGTGACGGCTGGTTAACATGTAGTCTTAATTGGCTGCGGTCACCATTTCATACGTGTTACGTTGTCTGACAACATAGACAGAAAAACATGTACACGATGTACAAAAACATGTAAATGAGAACAGATTGAATGGAAATCCGGCTGTAATCAAATACTGTGTATGTGAGCACAGAAGGAGAGAAGCAAACAGAACAAACAGAGCTGAAACTGGCTGACACTAGGCAGTATGCAAATATGATGTGATGATATCAATTTCTTACAGCAGCTCAACAACAGTTTTCAACTACATCTTCAATTTCGCACATTGACAATACACCATCAAGACATATAGTAGATTTTGACCTAGTCCTGTTGTTTTTTTTCCCAACAGTAGCAAATGTGGTGCTATACACAAGAGGGAATTCCCAAATTTACTGAACTAAAGCATTTTCAGAGCTAAATATGGAAAACAAATCTGAGTCAGTAAAAAGCAGAGCAAAGCAAATGTAACAGGGTGATTTCTCAGTTAGTAGCTCTCCAAAAACAAAGATCCCACCTGGGGCCAGTGCAGCAGCTGTGGAAGTGCTGAGACCAGGATGTGGGAAGAGGGGTGAGGGGAAGGCTTGGACAGTGGACTGAGCCATGGTGGCCATACGTGGAGCTCCCTTAGGGATGAACTCACTTGCTGCCGGGTTAGGAGTCTGGTGGAACAAGAAAAAACATACAAGAATTACATGAAATCTATCACTCCTGTTAAGAGACAATAAAGACAAAGATGGAAATTACATTTATAATGTCTAGGTTTCATGTACCTGGTCATAGAAAAAGTACAGCACAGAACTTTAAAAGCACTTTAAAGTAATTTTGATGTCTTGGACCAGGTGCTTGTGTGCTCACCTTTCTCCTTTGGGAAATGCTAAGAGCACCAAAATCACTGAACAGTGAGGATGTTGGGGAGTTCACTGGATCTGTGGAAGGCCATAGAGTGTAAGGACTCGGGCAGTATTCAGTGCAAGAGTGCTGACTACTGCTTCACAAAGCACTATAAGAATCTTACCATGAGTGCTGTGGCTGAAGTTCTTGGCACCATCGTTGAGGAGACTGGGAGAGCTGCTGCTGGTAGTCATACGCTAAAGAGAACAGCATCAAGAACAGATGTGTTACAGAAGGCACTCGAATGTTTACACTGATCATATACAGTGGGGCCCAAAAGTCTGAGATCATTTTCTCATTCAAGTAGTCTCAGACTTTTGGACACCACTTTATCTACAGCTACTCTCTTGTACCTGCATCATTGAGTATTTAGACTCTGCTGGGCTTCCAAACCCATTGACCCCAATAAAGCTGCTGCTGAAGTAAGAGTTGGTAAGATTGGCATCACTCAGGGTTGCGCCCTCCATCCCTGGGACTGTGGATGACAAAAATGAAAGTTTAACAAATAACATTTGCTCCCTAGACCGATGAAAATGAGAAATAATTCTGTTCTTCATTTAAGACTAGAAGGTAAAGTATTCATGATAATATCAGCACTACTGAGTGTTTGCTTAACCAATCACAAAGCTAATGAGAAAGCATGTAAACAGTTCTACAACTGCAGAGTGAGCTACTAAAGCCTGACACAAGGCGATATCAAGTATGAATATCTTTGAGAAACAAACTTTTTGGCGACAATTACTGGTTTCCAAAGTTCCTCCTCGAAGGTACCATTTAACACTAGAGTTGCATGTAATGTTAGTTACTTGTTGTTTGTTTACGTTGGGCAAACACAAACACAAAGTTGAAAAAACAATGCCCCGTGAACAGTTAGCGTAGCTACGCTAATGTTAGCAAACATTAAACTTGCATCTAAACAGCAACACTGGAGTTCTCATAAACAAGACTTAACTGGAGAAAAACTAACGGCAACAATACTTAAACTGACAACGGCCCCCTGAAGGCAAAGCCAAACGCATTAAAGTTAGTTAAAGCGGCCAAATTAACTCTAGTTTAGCTAACGCTAGCTGGCTAATAGCTCCACTAGCTAACGTTACTGGGTCGCGGATTTCTGTCCACTCACAGCTGTCACACAAAAACACCAGGCCTCCTCCGTGTGAGCTGCAACAGCATGGCTAATGTTACATGTTGATATCAAGTATTTCTAACACAATCTTAAGATAAAGGTTTTCACAAGACAGCTAAAGAGAACGGTACGAGCTAGTTGCATACAGAGGATGTAGCATCATGTTTGGCAGGGAAATGTAACCCACGTTGTTTTGGGGGGAAGAGGCCTCGATGAATCCTCGGGCTAAATTTTAACAAAATCCCACAAGGCCCAAAAGTAAAGTCACCGTCAGTCTCCCCATGTGAGGCCTTGTCTTGTTGTAATTGTTACTCACTGGTTAACAGCTGCCCCTCCAGAGACGTGCCTGCAGGCCCCAATGTTTCGCTCTTCTTGGACACACCGGTCCCCCCGCCACCCGGGCAGGCCGCCGCGGTGCCACCGAGGGAATACCCCGCTGGCGTCCCGCCACCTCCGGCCATGGACAACGGGACGGGGCTACCGCCGCCACCGTGTAGCGGCAGGCTTGCCATGGACGGATCCTCATGCAGGAACTGACACTCATCTCCATAAAAGCACGTTTTGTCTTTCGCGTAGTATCGGCAAAACTTCACCTTGACATTGGGAATCCCGGCACCCCCGAGCGGAGCAGCTGAAGCTGGGAGTCCACTGTTCATGGCACCGCTGCTGCCGCCGCCGCTGCTGCCGGAAGACACTCAAACATAGAGAGACGCAGATAGCTAGCGAGCTAGCCAGCTAGCCTGCAAACAGTTTCCACTTAAAGGAACGGATTAATATCACTTCAGCTGGTGAGGAACGCATAAGACGCTACAGTACTCACATTATAAGGCTAGGATGCACTTTGGTTTAAGAAAATATCATTGCATGCGCGAAATCCTGGTCGTCGTTGTTGTCGCTATCCATGCAGCCGCCGTCTTCGCAAAGTAGCCTGTTGTTGTTTTTTGCTCGCAGTGTGGCTGCTCTGCTAGGGACCAGCTAGCATAGCTTTGCATTGTGGGTACAGCGTTTGGCTGAGTTTACCTGCTGTAAATGCAAGCTGCAAATTCAACTTGCAGCACTTGGAGACTGAGGATGCAAACAGATAATGAAGCTGAAGGAGTAGATGTCTTTTGAGCCAAGTTTGCAGGATCAGTTCTCTTCAGACCATGTTTTCAGCTGTCAGCTGAGTTAAAATTATTCAGTTAATTTCCAATTAACCTATTTTAAGTTGTAGCAACTGAATGACATGATTGCAATGCTACATTTGATACGTTAATATATCTATCTATATCTATATATAGATAGATATAGATATTTGAGAATAGAACATGAGAATAAAAAGGAATGGGCAAAAAACACTTTTTTAAAAGTTAATTTAAAGATTTTTGAGAGGTGACATCGTACAGCACAAGTCAATGTACATTATTGTATTTGTATGATATTTCATCTGCCATGTTATAGCGTAATATTCCCTTGTGACATTATAAATAGTTCCCAGCAGCCCTCTTACAATTATTTTTTGGTCTTTTGACAAGCTTTACATCGTGTATTTTCCTGTGAAAATTTCAGCAAATTTCAAATATGAATTCATATTCAGAGTTGCATTTATTTTTACCTTTTGACCAGAAGAATGACTTTTGACTCTGATTTTGCATCATAGCAGTCTGACTGCTGAGCAGAACTACACTGGCTTTCTCAGCAAACATAGTAGTGGTTTTATTATCATATTGTCATTGTAAAAATTGCTCATACAACGCAATGTATATTTTGTATATTTATAGTGGAGGTGTATTGCCTTTTTTAAATTCAAATGCAGCCTATAAAATGACTTTACATTTTATAAGACATTTAAAGGCAATCAGTTTCTAAGTAGAGTCCACTAGATTTTTTTAGGACGCCTTCGGACACCACATTAGGGCGTTTTTGGTGACATCACATTTTAAACAAGGCATATTTCATAACAATGTGTAAAATAATATGGTTTCATATTGCGAAGTGTGAGAATTCATTGCACTTAACTTTGAGCAAGTCTTTGGCCGTTCAATCTTTTTGACCACTCCAAGCATTTGCAGGAATGGACGCGCATCAAAACCCAAACGGGGTTTTTCAGCTGTGAAAACTGCTGCCAGGCGTGACTGATAACGTCATCACTTCCTCTGTTTAAAAGCAACTTGAACTCAACTTGCACATCAAAGTTTCGCAGTCTGACCGGTAACGAGTATGTGACAGTGACAAAAAGAGAGCATCGATCCGGAGGCAGAGAAATATGACTGCAGGTGAGTATGTGTTTGTCAGTGTAATAAAGAAGATTAGGCTTAATCATGTTTTCGAAATAATTATATATATTAATAAAATATAGCTTAATGTTTAGTAGGCTTCTAAAAAATATAGCACTATGTCTTTGGTGGAAAGGCATTGATTAAGCACTTACTTTATCATCATAACGGTGTTGATCATGTTCCTAAAACGTTTTTTTCCATTACACTTATTTTCTTATTTGCGTTTTCCTGTAGGCTCTATTTCTTTGAATTGTTTTTATTTTTAAATTACTTAGAGAGCACATACAAACATTTGAAATGAAGAACATGTTCTGTCTTTCAGCCTTTCTCCTGCTGTGTGCTGTCGGGATCCTCTCCCTTGAAGTCGTGTCAGCACACAGTCAGCGGTGTGAACCCAATGATGAGGTAAAGTCCACGATCGTTTATATGCTTTAACCTCAACAGCTCAAATGAATTCATGTATTTAAGTCTTTCTGAGTCACTGTATGTTTCTGAAACATCATTGTTATTTTTTTTATTATTTTTTCATTTTTATTTTTGGAAAGCTCCAGTAGATGCACATAAAATGAGAACTAAAATGTGCATGCAATGATATGCTTAAAACACTGGTCTATAGTCCAGAAGAGACATTGGGCATATAGTACATTTGGAGGGATTTTACAAAATGTGATACTTTAATGTAGGTTTTTACAGCTAACACATTGGCCTATTGTTGGCTCAAGTGTCACCAGTTGCCACTGTTTTCTCATGAAAGAAAGCTACTTGAAATATCTTTAAGAGTCAATAATTCACTTTGCAATAAAGAAACAGACTTTGGAAAATCTTTGCAACAAGTGCAGAGCAGCAAGAGGTTGTAAAACCCTCAGCAAGAGAAATGTCCCAAATGTCACTAAGACTAGTGTTGTTTCATTTCTGTTCATCAGAACAGAAATGAATAGTGAATGGTTTCATGCTGCTGCACTTAGCTCTACTTAAAGTAAGTGATTAAATGGTGCGTTTTGTCTTCCAGGTGGCATGTTTTGCGCCAGCTGATTATCTGAATGCGAGTGGTCCTGTCAACCTAGAAGTGTGTGTTGGTAAGAAACTCATCATCTCCCCAGACGGCTTCGATGGATACCCTGTCTGTCACTGGATCAGAGGAAAAGACCCAGTAATGACACTGTACGTGAACATCGTTGTGTGTATTAATGTGTGTTTCCCCTTTTTGTGTAATTATGATTAACCAGATGCCTTTTCATACGCTTTATCAGAAAGAGGAATGACTCGATAGTCCTGCCACCGCTCTCTGAGACAGATTCTGGGGAGTACACGCTGAGCTGTGAAACCAGCAATGGGACCAAGTCCTCAATGACTGTGTCTTTAGATGTGGTAATGAGTGAGTAACAGAACTTCCGTATCTCATCACCTCTCATCACCTCTAATTCTCAGTCCAACATTTAACATGCAGCAAACACACACTAGACTGTTTGATGCTGATAAATTAGTGGTAGTAAAACAATGTTAACAATTTAATTAATATTTTTTTCTAGAACATCCCACAAAGCCACAGCTGACACTGGAGGGTGTAGATGAGACGTTGTATTCCCCCAGTTTCAGATGCATTTCAGAGAGCTGCCCAAAGTCCACAATTGAATGGTCTGGGTAAGATGATATCCATTACATGCATAATTCAGAGCGTGTTTTAACTGATAACAGTACTGACATTAACTTTACACAAAAACCATCTCATTGTAGCACAATTTTCTGAATAATAATACTTCTCCTCCTTTTGAAAAGAGGAGAGACAGAGAGCACAATATCAAGTACCCAATATGTTGATAAAGGAGTGATATGCTGTGCCACGAATGCTGCAGGAGAAGAGTGCTCCCAACTGTATGACTACGGTAATTAAACATTTAAACAAATTGAGCAGATGCATCCTACAAAATATTTTTCCATGGTAAATGATTGCCAAATCAAGCTAATTTGCTCAGTTTCGGACTTCAACCACCTGAAAAAGTCAGAGGAGAAGCAGTTTACAGCCCAGCGAGCATCTCTAATTACTCATGCCGTAGCAAACAATTAAATAGAATACATTTAAAAAACTAGACTCAAGTCTGTTGTGTGACTCAATGCCCTACTGTGTGTTTTAGATCTAGACAAGGATCTAGTGGATGATGAGGTTTCTAATGCGACTTTGAGCCCTGAACAGTCTTTACTGCTTCGTGCGCGAATGAGAAGTTATGGTTCTCCATCGCCTGTGTGGGAGAAAGCTGGGAAAACACTGGACAACAAAAAATTAACATGTTCTTCCAAAGTCAAGAAGGTACAATTAATTTTCTATAGATAGAATAGATTTAAGAATAGATTCTTAAAAAAAATTATTTTCATGTGAACAAATGTGAACTATTTCCCTTTATGTTTGTTTTTAAACTAACCCACCATATTTCAATACTCTCGGCCTGAGATATAAACACAAATAACTGTATGGACCTTCTCCATTTAAATCATAACTATATGTTTTTCTTCCAGATGTGCATTAAAACAGACTCACATGATGGAAGTCTGATGACCTACCTGTTCATCAAGTCAGTTAGTGTGGAGGACAGTGGTACATACACCTGCAGGAGTCCAGGAAAAAAACTTAAGTCTGTTTCCATTCATGTCCAGGGTTAGAGCTCATTTCTTTTTTTTTTCTTTTCTGTATGTTTTGTAATTGCAACTGAAAAATTCCAAATGATTCTTGTTGTATCTAATATTTAGGCGCATTTGTACTGATTTTATTCTTGTGTTGCTTCAGCTGAAGGTTTCCTCTCTGTCCAGTTGGATAAGAGCAAGATTATATCAGCTGAGGATGCATCTAGCTCCTGTTTGCAAGCCAGTGTCACCTACCACCCTGTACTCCAGCACTGTTCCTGGCAGGCTCCTGATAAAACTAAAACTAAATGCACCAAGGACAAATTGGTAACAAAACACAGGTAATTCCAGGAAGTGATGTTTCTGGAGCTCAGCTCAATGAACTTCTAAGAATTTTGAAAAAAATGCTGTCAGGTTGCAGAAATGTCCGGCACACTAAGGTCTTTTCATGAGCAATAGTAGACAATGACTATCAGAAATATTATCATGTGATATAAGGATGATATGATGACTATAACACGGTTTTCTCAGGACTGTGAAGCTATGTGATCCACTCAAATCAGGAGATTACGAGTTACACTTGGAAGCTGGAGGACAAAAAGAAACGAGGACTATATCAGTTTGTGTTGTTGGTAAGAGAGATTTGTGTGTGTGCGTGTGTGTGTGTGTGTGGTATTTGTTTAATAATATAACCTCTGCACAATTCTATCACTGTTATTTTGCACAGTTTAAACGAGCAAAGCTTACAAATCCACGGATTTTGTTTCAGACAAACCGCAGTTCATTCTGAAGGTTAACAACAGTGATGATACCCTCACCGTTGAGACTGTGACTCTTGTGCCAGCAAATTATACCTGGATGTTATGTTCTTCACCAGATGACAGGTATGGTTACTGTCAGACGTGCTCAGGTCAGAGGGCACTGTAACCCTGATGTGCACAGATTCAGATTTTTTCAAGTCCCCACTCTTTGTTTCATTGCAGTTGTGAAACAGATTCTTCTTGGAAAGAGATCCCAGACAACTTTGAAACAGACTCTGATGTCTTCTGCAACAAAACGATCAAGAACTCACTTAGAAGAGATCCAGCGGATGGGCACCATTTAAAATTTTGCCTTACAAATTCAGTTGGCTTCTGGTGTTCCAAATCAATATACTTCCGACCCTTATACCAGTCCTCCATAGGTAGTGAGATCTTTTTCACATTACAAAAATTATTAAATGAATGCCTTGTATTTTTATGACATCAATGTCACTACAAACTGTTCTTTACACATCACTGTTTTTAGGCACTCAAAGTACTGACAACGAAAGCTTAATGATGCTGAGAATAGGCAGTTTGCTCCTGCTTCTGGCTTTGGCAGCGGTCATTATGGCGCTCATGTACTTTGTCAAAAAAAAGGTATGTTTTACACATCAGCATCCACAGACACACACACAGACACACACACACACGCACACACATACAAACAAACAAACAAACACATGCAAGCACAGAAATGTGAAGACATCACTGCAAATTCATTTTGTTTCCAATAGAAACCCCAGTATCAGCCCCAGCTTCAGATCATCCAGATGGTTGGACCCAATGACAATGATTACATCTACATCAACTTCAAGGACTTTGAATACGATCTGAGATGGGAGTTTCCCAGGGAGAACCTGGAACTGGGTATGAATTACACAAGGCATGACACACGGCACACAGCACTTCAGAGGTGGAAGAACTCCTCTGATCCTTTACTCAAGTAAAAATACAACACAATAGAAATATAAGTAAAAGCCCTGTATTTAAAATCCTATTTAAGTAAAAGTAGAAAAGTGTTATCAACTAAATTTGCTAGTGTTGGAAAAAAATATTGCCCTGTGATTGATATATTAAATTGTTAGTACGGATGCATCAGTGTGTAAGCAGCATTTTATTGTTATCGCTGGTCAAGGTGGAGCTAGTTTGAAATACTTTATTTACAGCTAGTTTAATACTCAGGTCAGATGCCCCTTTGTAAATGTGGGGGGTTATTGATGGCACAATAATGTGAATTAGTTTTCATGATTCCAATCTTTGCTTTCATGTGATATTTGTGATGTGAGTTTTAACTCTTTTGGCCCTGGATAGTTTTTTAAATGAAACCATCCGAGAAGATTAGAATGGAAATGACTCCTTGGTAGAACCAGCATCAGCTCATTTACATCTGAAGAGTGACAAGGGGTCCCAACTAGGCAGTGTTTTTTTTTTTTTTGTTTTGTTTTTAATAAAGGGCCAGAAGACAAAAAAGTTGGGAACAACTGGTTTAATCTTAAAAATGTATCTAGACAATGTATTTAGTTGCTTTTCACCACTTCCAGACTGTTTTATGATAAGATTCCAAGTTTCATTAAGATGTACTAATAGAGCTACACTCTCTTGCAAGGTCAGTGTGAAAAAAAAATGAAATGATTTTGTTGTTTTTATTATATTATTGTGTCATCTGCAGGAAAAGAACTGGGCTCTGGGGCTTTTGGCATGGTGCTCCAAGGTACAGCCTACGGCATCAACAAGCCTGGAGTCTCTCAGCAGGTGGCTGTGAAGATGCTCAAAGGTCAGTGTTTCATATATTTATTCCATGAGTGAAATGCAAAAAAATGTTATGGAGTTGATTTCAGTGGCTGATGTGGTGACTGACCCTGCAGAGAAACACCAGACAGTGGAGAAGGAGGCACTGATGTCAGAGCTCAAGATGCTGACTCACATCGGTCACCACGCCAACATTGTTAACCTGCTTGGGGCATGCACAAACTCAGGTACATTTACAGTACGTCTATATATTACACACATGCACAGCAATTTTGTTTACACTCATTGCACCTTATTTTTTATTCCATGCTGGCTGGTAGGTTTTTTCTCAGATCTATTTCATCTTAAGAGTGAATTTAGCATACAGTGACGGCGTGATTGCTGATGCTAATCTTAATTTGTTTTCCCCGTGTAGGACCCATATACCTGATTTTCCAGTACTGCTGTTATGGAGACCTGCTGAACTACCTAAAGACCAACAGTGAGCGCTACCACAAGTCTGTGACCGATGCTTTCAAAAAGGATCGTTTCAGCAGCCTTTACCACAACCTGCAGCCTAAGAAAAACTCTTGGTGAGGACATAAAGGCAAATGAACAAGAGGAACAATAGTGAGGGTAGTAAAGGAAAGAGGTCAGCACAGGACAGGGCAAACATAAAGAGTAGTTTCTATAAGCATAGGTAGAGATATATTTAATTATTCTGTTAGAAGCCTGGTTTAACATTACAATATCACTCACATCATGTTTTTGTTTTCACAGTGAGCTGCAACTGACAGTGGACAGTTATGTGCCAATGCATGCCGCTACCACCAGGGGGCAGGAGGACATCACCCTCCTCACCCTCAACTCCGGCGACATGCACATGTATGAAGGTCAGAAAATACCATCTAAAGACCAGAGAACATGCGTGTTGTCAGACAGATAAACTAAAATATCAACATGAGCTCATCAAAGTGCAAAAAAGGGATCTGCTTGACCAGAGAGTAACAGTTCCCTCTCCTCTGTGTTGATCCTAACTCGTCTCTTTTCATCCGCAAACCCAGAGATCTATGAAAGCCAAGACGATCCTGATGACGACCAAGAAGCCCTGACCTTTGATGACCTGCTGAGCTTTGCCCTCCAAGTGGCCAAGGGCATGGAGTTCCTCTCCTCCAAGAATGTAAGAGACAAAGGACAAACTGTCAACCCCACACTCGCTACAGACACGGAAATGTTTAATGGTATCAATAGATATGAAAGGATTAGTCAATAAATTGATTATTATTTGATGGAAAAAATGAACAGCTTTTTTTGTTAAGGTAATTTTACGCAGAATACCAAACAATTTCTAGTTCCAGCTTCTCAGTTTTGAGGATTTACATTTTTTCTTTATTACTTGATATTAGATTTATAATCTGGGCATTTTGGCCTGTTAATCACACAAAACAAACTACTTAAACATCAACTTAGGCTTTGAGAAATTTTGATTTGCATTCTCATGTAAATTTTTTTACATATTAGACACCATACAATCAATCTAGAAAATAATCTGCAGATCCATGGATAATAAAATAATTAGTTTCAGCCCTAAAAAAATAAATAAAAAGGAATTTATAATTTGTTTATAAGAGAGAGATACTTCATTTTACCAACATGCATACACAGTGTTATATTGTAGATATGAAAAACATTTTAAAAAACTTTCCTAGCTTATCTCTCCAACTGCTGGACATTATAAAACATGAATGCAAAACTGTTGTCACATACTGATAGTGCCTCCAGAACAAACTTCAAAAAGCATATCAATTCAATAAATTAACATAAAACAGAGAACACAAAATGGCCATTATGGATTTGGCCTTTGTGGATTATGCGTGTGATAGTAAATACACTGGTCCTGTCTATCTGCAGTGTATCCACAGAGACCTTGCAGCTCGAAACGTGTTAGTGACAAAGGGCAGACTGGTGAAGATTGGCGACTTTGGGCTGGCCCGAGACATCGACAACGACTGCAACTACGTTGTGAGAGGAAATGTATGTAAGATAACACCGGCGCCTGTTTCACATCACTGGTTTGTTTCTAAATCCTGTCTGTCTTGCATCACTTCTCACACATTCTGGGGGTGACATGGCTTTGCTTGTACTTCAGGTGCGTTTACCAGTGAAGTGGATGGCACCAGAGAGCATCTTTCAGGGGATGTACACCATGAAGAGTGACGTCTGGGCTTATGGCATTCTGCTCTGGGAGATCTTCTCACTCGGTAGCTCTCACAGACAAGTACTCTCCATGAGCAGTATGTTTAAAGTCTGCTCCTCCACAACACTTAACATTAAATCACCTATTTATTTATGGGTTTCAGGTGTCACTCCGTATCCTGGGATGAAGGTGGACCACACGTTCTATTCGATGATTGAGAGAGGATTTAAGATGGAGTGTCCGTACTATGCCAACGAGTCCGTGTAGGTGTCTTCAGTCTGCATGCAACAGTATCTGATGATGTAAAAAAAACTGTCCATTTTCATGAGAAGAGTTGATATTTTAATAATTTAAAACAATTATGGGGAGCGGAATAAATATGTACGCTGATGTAGGCTTTTACTGCCTACTTCTACTTTACTTTAGTATTTCCATGTTATACTTCCAGTTGACTACATTTCATTGTTTGTTAAAATTACATTTCAGTTTTCATAATTGTAATGCAACAATGCAGCTTTCTTCACGATAAAATCAGTTCTTCAAGCAGGTTCATATGATTTAGAAACTAGTTAAACTAACTGCACATATAGTATTTTTTATTTTTTTTACTTTTTACTATAGACCCAACTGTAGCCAGAACTGTCTTTATAAAACTGTGACATTTCCACTGTCAGAGATTGAACTGCCCACCAGCATATGACCAGATTACACCAGTAAAATGCAATTTACACATTAATACATCAGCAACCATTATCCAATAATATAATCTATATATAATACAGCAAAATTGGACATTTGACAATACTTACATTATTATATTGATAATTTTACCTAGGTAAAAAATCTGAGTACTTCCACCACTATCCTCCAGACCAAGCAAATACAGTAATCCAGCTACCCTTGACTTGGATATGATGGATAACTGAATTATCTTCATAGACTTGAAGTCTTTCAAGTTACCACAGCCACTGTATTGTATAAAATCTCCCTTTAACCTGTCTTTGTTCTCCAGGTATGAGATGATGTGTAAGTGTTGGGCCCTGGATGCCGGCAACCGCCCTTCATTCTCCAAACTGGTGTCCTTTATGTGTGACCAGCTGACAGACAGAGAGCAGAAGGTAGGCCTGTAGAGCAAAGCTCAACATATTTAGTGTAGAATCTACTCAAATGGTTATTTAGGAATAATCGACTTGAAGCACGGAGTGTAAATGTTGTATCTGATCTATAAATAGCACTATCATCTAATTTCCTTCCTTTTCATAATCAACTTCCTTCCTCTTTCAGCTGTACCACAACATGCTCGACCAGACCTCCAACGACTACCAGAACACACCAGCCGATCTCGACATTTCTGCCTTGGCACAACAGGATGAGAACAAGACGCAGTTGGCCAATGACTACTGTCGAACCCATGCAACTGAAGAGAGCAAAGCAGAAACGTCTGACTTGGACACTGAGGCAGCTGAGGAGAAACTTGTCAAACCATCTGATAGCGAGTGATCACTTATCACTTAATGCATTTTGATGTTCAAACCATTTTATCTGTATTTGTAAACAGTTTATACAATAATCTCAACATATATATTGTAGAGTCCACTTCTTTTATATTTTAATGAAATGTTGTAAACATATTTTAGAACCATAGGTGGGTTTGAATAAGAGAACTGTGGCATGTATTTCACATAACTTCACATAATTTTCTAAGTAACAGAACAAAGATTTTTATTATACATATAGGCTAGGATTGAAGAAAATCACTATAATAATATGTTCTGAATGTAAATATATTCTTCTTTTATATTTTTATCATGTTTCATTGTGCAGCTAAAAATTAAAAACAGGTTTTGTAAAGGAATCCGAAATATTCTCAGGGTCTATAATAAAGACATGTAAATCAGGGGTTGTAACTTTCATCTAAATTAGGACAATATACCGTAGCAACTTATCAACCTTTGGTTTTAAGTTGTATTATACGTATATTCCATTGTTACTGTACGGCAACAACCCTTTGCCTTAAAACATTGTTAGACATTGTAATGGAAAGGATTTCCTTGTATCAGCAGCTATTTGTACACATTTATATATTTTGACACAGCTTTCTATATATATATTTTAATTGTATCAACATGTTTAAGCAATAAAATGTACTTTACATATTACAAACTGGTCAAAACTGGAAAACTGGTGATTGCAATGTAGATCTGTCGTTCATTGATGATTTGATGATTTGACTTTTTGACTTGAAATGAGGCCATCTGTATGTTTGACCCCTCATTATGTGTGAACTCTCAACTCAACCAAACAGTGATTTTTTCCCTTCTCAGAATGTTTTATTTGAGTAATGTTTACAGACTTTCAGAGAAATAACTAACCAGCATTTCACAATAAAAGACAAAGTACAGAAATGGTATGCATTCAACCATCTTGTGACCCCCTGGTGACCTCCAGGTCTAGCCACTGTTACAGGCTATATACATACCTGACAAAGTGGATAATTGCCAGTTGCTGTCTTTAAGCGCTAGGTGACGCCAGAGATCAGAGTTTGCACTTCGAAGAAATCGACCTGCATCTAAAATTTGCATCAACGTTTTTTACTTTCTTGTAAACTCTTAAATGGACTCCTCTTCCCATGCATCAGCTGATTGGCTGTTGAATCTGACTAGTGAATTATTAACCACAGCCGGGCTTCGAGGGGGCTTATTCCGTGTGTCCACCAGCACAATAACCCCAGTATTGTCCGAAGGTCATTAAACACTAGCTGTGCAACCACTAAACAGTGTCCCCACAGAGCCATGGACATCAACTTAGTAAATGCTCTTCCCTATGAGGATTTTGTAAATATTTTTGGCAATGTGGTGGAGAAATGTCCCATTATAACAGCTTCTGTGTGGTCGAAGCGTCCCTTTGTGAGCTTGCCTGCTTTGGAGGCTGCTATTAGTGAGTTCATCGATTCTCTGCCAGAATCAGGTGAGACACAGACCTACATTTTATTAACTTTTTGTTATATTTTCTGTTTCAACTCTGCTGAAACTTTGGCTGGCTGTTTTAGGGGCTGTTAGTCCCTATAAATTGTATTTACTCTGTGCGTAACGGCACTGATAGACTTTATATGAACTAAATTGAGTGCAGTAATCAGTGATCATGTGTTAAGGTAAAGAGGGGATCCTCAGGTGTCACCCGGACCTCGCTGGCAGGGACCTCCAAAGGGGCACCTTGACCCTAGAGTCTCGCGAGGAGCAGGCACGAGCCGGGCTGGACTCGCTGAATTCCGCGGAAGCCTCGCGTATGACCCGGCTCAACGAGGAGTACAAAGAGCGGTTTGGGTTCCCGTTTGTCATCTGCGCCCGGATGAACGACAAGGCGAACATCTTACGGCAGCTGTCCGAACGCTGTCAGAACGAGCGCGCGGTGGAGAGGGCGCGCGGCATCGAGGAGGTGAAGAAGATATGCCGTCTGCGCCTCCAGGGTCTCGTGCTCACTGACGCGCCAAACAAGTTGTGACCTTCAATTACTGGAGTTTATGCTGGATTTCACCTCTGTGCCAGTTTAACCTCCTGGACGTAAAGACTGTCACTGCTATCAGACCTGAGATATTTGTCTTATTCCAAATTTATTATGTGTGCTATTCATTCATCTTCATGACTTTTTCAAACAATAAAATAAGTGAAACATTGATTGTAATTTCTCAATTTAAATGATGTGGGTTTATATACACATGTGCACATTGATAATATTCCAATACATATTCCTGACAGGCCTTCTCACATCTCTGAGGTGAGAAGGGCCATGCAGCAGTTTGTGCAACTGAATCCATGTTGCTGCCTCTAAAGTGGGTGGGGTGGTGGGGGGTCTCTCCTCCGTGATTTGGTCTCTGCATGCCATCTGCCATGGAAGTCCCTTAAGTCCAAAAATGACACACTGATATCCAAAGATCACGGTGGTCCTTAAATAATGCTATCTCTCAGCCTAACTTTAGGAGAGGCTGTTTCACTCTGTCCACTGTTCGCAGCCTATAATGAGCCGAACGGGCTTTCTAAAAAATATAAATCCTCTGAAATGGTGCTTCTTTGAAATATAGGCCTTGTAGCATATTTCTATTGGTTTCCATAGTTTCTGGGAAAAACAAGTTTCCTGCAATATCTAGATCGTAATCTAAAGGATAGGTACCTTCTGTGGGCCTACGCAGGCTCTCTGGACCCAGACGCGGAGAGAGAGTGACCGTGCAGCGGGGAAACAGGCGGTGTAGTGGTGTGAGGTCCGTTTGTGGAGGAGACCCCTCCCGCTGCCTCCCCCTGGTCTGCGGAGGTGATGGAGGAGTCCTGGTCCGGGTCGCCCCCCCTCGCCCTCCGCCGGTCCTCCTCCTTTTTCCATTTCATGCGCCGGTTCTGGAACCAGATCTTGATGTGGCGCTCGGTGAGGCTCAGCGTCAGCGCCAGCTCCACGCGGCGCGGCCTGGATATGTAGCGGTTGAACAGGAACTCCTTCTCGAGCTCCAGCAGCTGGGCGCGCGTGTAGGCAGTCCTCGTGCGCTTGTTCTCCTCAGTCTCCGCCATCACGTACGGCCCTGGAGACGGACAGAGATTTAGTAGCCTACCAGTGCCTTTGCAAATGAGATGTTTTAAAGTGAGTTTTGGTTTACATTAATTATGATAATTATAATGGGGTTGTTTTGTTTGTTTTTTTACTGGAAATTTACTGGACAGCTTATAGAAGTGCATGCAGAAACCACACAGGATATTTGTCTTATGATAGCTGGTAAAAATAAACATTTATTCACTTGTAATGTTAGGAGGAATTTCCTTTAGGAATCACTCAAGACCCAAAACATACTTCCTTAGTTCGAGTTGATATTTGGAAGCAACAGGTGATAGGCTATGGGGACAATCTAAAGCTGTTATAGGTCCTTAGGGAAATTTGTTATTTTTAAATCACAAAATTCATTTCTAATGCAGATCTTGGAGGTAAAGATTATAGGGTAAAATTTAATGGAAATTAAGATTTCGATTCTGTTTAAGGTCAGCCATAGGTTGCTGTTTAATTTTTCTGTGGACAAAAACAGTAGGATTTTGTGTATACGGTGACCCACATAAATTCATCGCAGTGATCAGATATTAGATAAAGCGACAACATGATAAAAGTAGTTTGCATCGAGAAATGAATGCGGTTTGATATCAGAGAACACAAACAGAAAGTAGGCTTTTGATGCAAAGTTGTTGTTTTTTCTATGGATGAATTGCTGGAGAATTTTTTTAGAAGACAAATGTGGAGAGAGTGAGATAAGTGATTTTATTTATAAATCCACTAAACTACAGCCTACACCTTATTTTTGCCGGGACTTCCTGACTCCCTCTTACGGGAATCCTGGGAGTCCTCGACTCGATGAGGACACGGTTTGGTGAATTAACTCAGTTGGGGAATGACCTCCTGTATTTTACCGATGGACTCAAAGTCCTAGTCCAAGTCATAAACACGTATTAAAATAAAAACCGTGATGGGAAAAATCTATTTATTCCAAATTCAAATTACATTTTACATCACACCTAAAATCAGTAATCACCCAAATATTTCATTTAATTTATCGGCCATATTCAGTCAGATCGGGAAAGACCAATATTGGCTCAGTGTTAAACTGATTTGACAGTGAAAACAAATCTTTCCCCAAGCTTCTTTTTGTGTTGATTCAAAGTGAAAGTAAAATTGAGAGTATCCCCATACAGGCTACATTTTTGATATTTTTTAATCATGCATGTAACTTTTAATTGTAACGATTTTTTATGACAGCAGAAATCGTGTTTAGCCATTGAAGGTTTAAATGCCTACTTGTCATGGCACTAAGAACAGTGATGACCTTTTACTGCTTTGGATATATAGTAGACGTGTTTTAGAAACAGGCCTGCTATATTTTGCAGTTTCCCACTGCATCTTTGGTATGAAAGCCTATTTTAATATCATCTCAACTTTTTCAAAACTGCTTGCAGCTTGTTGCTAAAATTATTGGAATTATCTAGAAATAAAAATACACATTTTATGTATACAACCTGGTATAATTATCACTGAATTGTATCACAAAAGCTGTGCGTAAAAGTTCAACAAACGTAGGTTGCAGTGTCACAGGAGAGATCTCTGTGGCCTACAGTGATTTTTAAGAGTATAGATAAATGCTTAAAATGACTCATAGCCTATATGAAGTCACTGAAGCAGAAGTGCTTGTTAATTTTGATCTGATAGGAGAAACCTCCTTTACCACCTTTATAGGCACATTTTAACAGAGGAAACTTTGGCACGAACATTTCTCTTACGCAAACCCCTCGTCACAAAAATACTTTCCACTGGTTATAATTAAAGCCATAAAAACCTAAATGTTGTGATGAAGAAAAGGATTCAATAACTTTAATTTAATCTGAAAACTATAGTACAACTCACTGTTAATATATAAAACCCCTACAGGTCTTTTCTTCTTCTAGCCTATTACCAGGTCTACATCAATCAATAGCGACTGTGGTAGATTTGGTTGTTTTAACAGCTTATTATACTCCATAGTATCCAGCCATTGATGGCTTAAGATATGGTTATTTGCGAAAATGTTTTGAAAAGACAAAACCCACATTTTTGTAAAGATAAGGTCTGATAAAAGCAAGCGCTGACCTTCCGGGCCTTTTACAAATTGACTGACAAGGTAAACTGAAACACCCAGGATCATATTGTTGGGAGCATGATGTCATTACAGGCCTCAGAAAGACTCAGTTGAAACACACTTGTTAATGCTATGACTACAGAGTAATGCTGTAAACAAAACTATCCGTGGATTTTAAATTGAAGCTTTGTTTGATAAGCAGTTACAATGTTATCAAAGAAAATGAAATCTCGTATGCACTTTCAGTTTGTCTCCATTGAGTGATTCTCTTCATTGGGATTTGAAAGAAATGCCATTTACTGATATGCAGCGGCTCGAGGGTTTACCTGCCCACTGTCCCTTCCAGGTGTGTGAGTGGGATTTTGTGGTTTTCATCCAGGGGAAAGGGAGGTGATATCTGCTCTGCTCCCCCGTGTCTCCATAACCTGCGGCGGGCTGGAGAGCCTGCTGCTGGAGCCCCTGCGAGTGGTGCAGCTGAGGGACACCTGGATCCTCTCGCAAGCTGGGTAGACTGTAAGAGGGGGCAATGTCAGGAAGGCTGGCCTGCTCCAGGGCTCCCATGGACGGCGGTGTGTAGACGGAGTGAACCTGCCTGTTCATGTACAGGCAGGGCGGCGGGCTGTGGCTGTAGTCCTCACCCTGTGATCTCTGATAGGCACAGGAGTCTTTAAAAACCTGCGAGGGGTAGTAATGATCTTCCCGATTCATGGCTGCCGAGGACCCGAGGCACACACATGTACCGAACCTGCGCCCTGCCTCGGCGTGGACCTTCAGCTCTACCTGCCTCTGGCGCGACTGCGAGGCCCTTACTGCTCCACACAGGTGTGTCACTCTGTCACCATGTGACTCCGCAGCGCACAAGCCATTGGTTTCACTGTTTGCTCAGAACAGCAGACCTATAGCCCCTCAGTTTCCAGGATATTCTGCGGCTTGTGAGATTGTTTTCAGTAAATTGAACAGAACGGCTGCCAGCGCGTAAATCAATGTCCCTCTGTAAATACCGCAACGTTTAGGTACCTGGCATTCACCTGTGTTTGCGCACAGGAGCAACAGAATCTGTGGGACCCTGCCTCCACACACACAAAAAAAAATTGAATAGAGGTCCTTCTTAGTCTAGAGCGCGCGACAGAAACGCATTTGTCATGCAGGATATGTACGATTGTCCTCAAACAATGTAGCCATCGACAATTTATATGGATAGATCTCTTGTCTGCACACTGCGGCTGATAAATCGATACGGATGGGCGCAAACATTGGTTGACCTGCGAGATAAGAGACCTGGATGGAGAGACAGTTGTCTTGGAAACTCGGGTGAAAAGCTCAAACACCACAGCTCATCTCCACCCCCACACCCCCACCCCGGTTTGTCTACACCTTTCTGACTTTTAAAATGTACCCATTACACGTCTGTAAATGCATCATTTAACACCATTTAGCCTGTGTGGCCCCACACTCCCCGCACCGTGGGCCCTTGACGATGGCAAACACGCGGCTCGCTTGAGCCGCTGCACTCTCGCCATGTTTGCTGGCCATTAGCCTTTAGCTGGTGTGTGTTCGCCCCATTAAACAGCAGCTCTCGCGGTAAAACCCAATTAGGTTGGAGAGAGCAACAAAACTCAATTAACCGGCGCGCGCACGGAGCGTGTCCCCAAAGGCCCGCGAGCTCACCTGCGCCTTTATGCAAGATTTTGAGCCTCTGCTATAATACGGGTGTAATTTGCCATTTCTCCAGGTAACTGTACAGAGCGACGGGGCTTTTACCTTGATAGTGTGCATCTATAGACTATTTGCACTGAGTTCTTCAAAAGCAATTACGGCACTTTCCATGGTATCTTAATGGGGCACTCAGCGATGCAATAAAGTTCAAGTAAACCAATTCTATACAAATCATCCCCTGCACTATAGCTTAATGGTGTTTATATTTGTTCATTGTTTCAAAGAGGAAGGAAACAGTTAACCGAAGCTATTCCCCCACTACAGTGGAGAGGGACAGCGTGATTTATGAAGCATGAGGGGCGTTAAACGCATTTTAGCCGACTTTACAGACACAGAACTTTTGCGTAATGGCTTAAGCGAGGAGTAATGCAGCTTAACTTTGCTATAATAGACCTATGGGTAATCGTGACCACAGAGACTGACAGTTGCCACGCTTATAAAAACGCTCTGGATGCGGAGCAATAAAAAGAGTGTTACATTAAACACATGGACCAAGGCCAAATCTGGATAGACCTTGAGCAAATGTTCATCTGTTTTCCAGAGGTACTGATATCCCCACTAAAGCAGGTAGAAATACTATATTATATGTGTTTAGTCACAGGATTATTAAACAACTTATTGGAGGACTTGGGCACCAGTAGGAGTGTCAGGAATTTTTTTTTTTTTTCTCCTTTGACAAACAAAACCGTTTGTGATAGCCGGTATATACATGTCAAAAAGTTGAACACGCGATAAAATGTGCTTACCCAGTGGCGACAGCAGCATGGCTTATGTAAACATTGTGACCAGTGAATAATGGTAATGACATTATAATTGAAATCAAACCTCCTCGACTGCAAGCGAAACAGAATTACGCCAAAACCACGAGTCATGTGAGAGAGGAGGACATGGAAAATAAAATGTCAGAAGTTCTTATGTTCTGAGCTGTAATGGCTCTTTGAGAGTTTATTCCGATTCATGTGAAAATCTGTGGGGAAAAAAAACATTAAAATGATTTTATCTTACACTGAAAAAAACCCAAGAAAACCAAACCTTAACTCCACCGCTGGGTAACAATTAATTATTATTATTATTGTTTTTATTATTATTATTATTAAATGTGCATTTAATGACATTTTACAACTTTTCTGCCAAAACAGGTTATTATGTGTGAATACAAATGTACATAATATACATTACACCGCATGCCAGAGAAACTTCCAGGTGGGGAGGTGCTGCCTGGTGTAATTGATGTCAAACATCGTGAAGGGCTGGCACATCCTCATCTCATCCCTAAGGCACAAAATGTGCAGGAACGTTTTGTAAACACTCAACCATGTTGGTCTCCACCTGTTAATTACACATCAGTCACTCAGTGTTACAACACAACTGACATTTAGTTATCAAGCTTATTTTGTATTAGTATAGAAATGCAAAAAAAAAAAAAAAAAAAAAGGATCACCAAAGACCACTGATTGCAAACATTGTATAAACATTTCAAAATATGCCCCATAAATATATCATTTATGAGTTTGTTTTTTACAGTCACTGTTAGTTTTTTTGCTTTCAAACATCCAGGCCTTAAACAAGCAGGACACAAACCCACCCTCACTGAATTAGAAAAACTAAAGCTAAACTTACAGGCTGCATGTCAATAAATGACCTGTGGGACTCCTCAGTGGGTGGGTCTGAAGGCTTTTCCTCCTCTCTTGTAGATGGATGGGGGACGTAGAGTTGGCAGGACCTTCAGAGCTCTCTCACCTTAGCAACCTACACAAACTGAGCATAATACACAGTGCTGCGTTAACGTTTAAATAGTATGATATATATGACAATTGATATTTCTAAAGCAGTTTTTCTTTCTTTTCTGTCTTGGTGTTGATTGGTACCTATAAGTGTGTTGATGGTGTAGCATCTTCCAATAGACTAAATTCTCTTCATAATCTAAAAAGTAACATATTTGATGTTGAGTGAGGAAACAAGCCAGAGAGACATTTAAGCTTTTTTTTGTTTCATCATGGTAAAGTAACTGACAATTAATAACCATGTGCTATAAATTCATGCGGACTGAATTTGTTTGCCGACTTTTTACACAGGCTGTTGGAAGACACTGCAAAAGAGATGGAGATAGACAGAGCAAGGAGAGAAAAGTGGAGGCAGAAAGGCCGAGGGAAGCAGAGGAGATATAACGGTGGTGATACTGGAGTAATTGTGAATCCAACATGACATTAAGTCACAATTTTAGAGATACTTAATGGAAGATCCAAATGATCCAGGTAGGTCAACTACAGTACAACTGATATAACATATTACTACAAGAAATGGCTTACCTGGTGTCATGTCATCCAGCACTAAGTGCAGTTTCCCTTTCGCTGTGCATCAGTAAGGATTCTGTCACCGCCAGCAGCCCCAGTTTTCAAAATGTTTTCCCGCTGCCTCAGGATGAAGCTGCTGGAAGTCTGTAACTAGAACAACAGTGTTTCAAGAAATGATATGTGGAGGTCAAAAAACTTATTCAAAAGGGTTTTGTCTTCACAATAATCCTGTTATTGTATTTCATCATGTTGTTTCCCTGTTACCATTACTCTGATGGTGTTTTCTCCTCTTTCTCTTGCATTGTGCTTTTCATTTCCAGTCAGCTAATTCATATAGAATATTATAACTACAGGATAGGATTTTTTTTTTTTTGCTTGAAAATTTTACTGTCCCACCTCATGAGGCTAAGTACAATATTTTAGTGAATAATGAGGCAGTAAAATAACAGGATTGTTTAAAAGTAGAACTGAGATTGTTGTTTCATGACTACTTTAACTACAGCTCTCTCAGTCTGAAACAGCATTTAATTTGTCATTCGAGTTTACGCCATGACTATTGATCAGCTGCCATTCAGAAATAACACAAAACAGCTGATGTGATCGGCTATCAACACTTGCAAAGTTAACCGATACGCGCCGTCTCCGCCGGGGTTTCCTCTCTGAAAAGTTTCCCCTCGGGTTCCACTGATGTGAAACTACAGAAGAGTAGACGACACAACAGAAAACAATTTGAAATAAAACTGTCAACACAGACGGCTGCCTCCTGGCAGACGCCATCTTCAGGCTGCTACCGAGTCTGCGCACAGCCAGAAGCCGCTGGTTGTTGTAGTTCTTCCGGCTCCGACGAAGTTTGTGCTCACAGCACATGGGTTTCTGTTTGTTATACTGGTTTAAGCTGAGCATTTTGTTCCTTCATATTCACCATGGACTCCAGAAGTTAAGAGACGGGACAAAGGTTCGTGACGGGTTTCATCATGTCGCATTCACTTTAGAATCATTATGTTATTGTTTTCTTTTTGCCGTACTTCATTTTTCTTAGTGGAAAAAATGCTGGAAAGTACCATAAATGTTTCATTTCAAATCAATATTGGATTTGTGATGGCCACAAATCGCAGCGAATGGTGCTTGAACTTTTCCCTTGACGTTAGGTTGTTGAAGGCCAAACTCAGTAGCTAAAGTCATTGAAACATTTTATTCTAGCAGGAAAATTATGTTTCATGGTCAAACTTATTAGCTTAAGTAATTTAAGAGATATAATTATATTTGTAAATGTATGTGTAGAGGATATACTTGGCAGCTTGTAACATGGAGGTTTTCATTTTATCTTCTCATTAGGATCTTGATGTCCAAATCACCAGCTAGTGCTGCTGACATTTTCTTTTATTTGATCGAAACATCTGTTTTTGTGTGTGGTCAAAGTTTCATATCAATATTAAAAATGTGATGGCCAGAATTGGCAGCTAATGTTACTTTCACTTTCACTACTTTTTTAACTTTACTATTAACAGTGTTAGTATAAGCAACACTGGCAGGTAAAGTAACTGGCATTGATATGTCCACAACAGCGGTGCCAGTCCTATAATCGTGAATGTCCCTGACTGACTGATCATATTTCCACCATTGGTCAGCCACGTGACTGAGTTGGTGTTTCCCCATTGACCGTTGCTCTTTCAAAATCATTTGGCGCAAACAGGTTCTATGAGGGGAGCAGTTACAGCATGCAGTGTTGCCAAATAGCCCATTCGTGACTCGGGGCTTAGGGCTACACCTCTTGTTACAGGCAGTCACCCGTACACTCTGGTTTCCCGGCTGCTCGGGAGCTACAGGGAAGCGGAGTAGCGCTTCCAGTTCCCTGAGCTTTGCCCCTATTAAGGCAAATAAACTACTTTCATCACAGTAGCAGGAGTAGCTCAGAGCTGAAGCTTGGAAATGGTTATCATGTAGTCTTAATTTGCCACATTTTGGTGACTATTTCAAACTTGTTCCATTGTTTGACAACACGAACAGGTTGTAAATGAGAACATCTGTATTGGGAATTGAGCTGTAATAAAATACTATATGAGCAACGGGAGTAGGAGAGAGGCAAACAGATAAACCTGAAACCAGCTGATACTCGGCTGAATGCAAATATGAGGCAATGATACCAGTTGTTTACAGCTGCTTCACAACAGTTTTCATCTACGTCATCAATTTCACACATTGACCATATGCTGTCTAGCCATATACTAGGTTTTGACCTATTCTTGTTGAGTGTAGCAGCTGGATGTGTGAGCAGTTTAAGGGAATCAACGAAACCTATAATATGGTTGTAACATCAAAAAAATTACAGTTAATTAACTAACATGTAAGTCAACCGTCGACTGCTGTGAGGAAAAAAGTTTAGTCTTTTTTATTAGCAGGAAAAAAAAAAAGTTAAATCAGTGTCTTTTCTGGCTCCTTCTAACATGCCAGGTGAACAGGACCCCAGCAGCTGTGTGAGGTGTGCTGGCTGGTCAGAAAACAGTGTGTCTACCACTGCGCCCTAGAAAGGGCGTGGCCTCAGGTAAAGCAGTGTTCCTCCCCTAAACAGAAGTGCTTTATTCATGAAGTCGTTGTCTTTTCTGTCCATCTTCCCCATGTCTCCTGTCTCTGTCTCTGTGTCTGTAATTCCTCTCTTTGTCTCTGTCCTCTTTCTTGTCTTTATTATTCCGGCTGTGCCTGTGATGACTTTTATGGTCTGTGTGACCTCCGTTGCCCCTATAGTCTCTGGGAGGCGATCTGCTGCGGTCGCGGCTTCTGTCCGGGGTCTCATTGCTCAGGCGCCCTCTTGTGGCAGAGTGTCCGTCTCTGGGTTCACTGGGGTGCCGCTGCAGGCCGGTGGAGCGCAGGGTGTTGAGGAGGAAGCGCTTGTTGGTGCTCCGCAGGGGACACCTCAACCTGACAAAGAAGTGAACAAAGGTTTTGACTCTGACGTCTGACAGTGTGACACACCAGGTTGTTGGATCTATCTCTATGACAAACCAAGGGATGTGATCACTAGCACCTAGAGGGCATCAGCACACCTGTGTTTTCATTAATACGCCATTAAGGACACCTAGGTCAGTGCCCCTGCATTTTGTTCTAAGAATCTGGGGATCATAGCAACCTAGAGTCAGTTACACTATGGGTATTTCATAGATTGATTCCATCACTTAAACATAATTTGACTACTTATATGCCAACAAATAAATTAACAATTCAGTATGTCAGTATGATTCAGTCTTCTCCGATGGTAGAACAAGCTACTAAATGCTATCAGAGCAGGGGCGTCCCTCTCTATTTTCAGGAATCTCTTTGAGACCCGTCTCCTCTGAGAACAACTCCTCTCCTCACTCCTCTAACACCCAAACATGCCTAACTACCACTTACTATGCATTTTCAGCGCACTTCATTACTGAATAGATGTGGTGCTTAGTACTTACACCTAGGTCTCCTACTGCCCTTAAGTTTTAGTTTTGTCCCTCACTTGTAAGTCGCTTTGGATAAAAGCATCTGCAAAATAGATACATTTAAATATAATGTCATATCTCCAAAAGATGTTTATTTTTATTTAAGGCAATTTTAAACACTCAAAAAAACTGAGTCTTGGGTGCCTATGTCGGGGGACTGAGATTCATTACCTCAGCATTTATAAAATCCTGGCTGTGGCCCTGCTCCTACTGTATCTGAACTTGGAGAGATTGGTTTCCAGTACTGTACACCATACCGCTGGAATGAACTGGAGCATTAAATTAACTAGGAGATGCTCTATTCTTTGAGGGACTTTAAAACTTTACTTGTTGATATTCTTAATAATTGTTGTGATCACTTTTATTGGTGTCTGTGTCCTGAGGTCTCTCTTGTAAAGGAGATCTCTGAATAAATAAAGCTTGATAGCAAGAATTTTTATTTACTTTGATCATTTAAAATTAAGCAGTCATCAAAACAAAATAGGTAGAAAAGTCAACAATGCATTTGGCTAGGATTACCGGCAAAATAAAATATCTCATAACTAGCTAACCAATATCATTTATCAGTATAATTATGAGGACATTTTGTGGGATGGCCAATAATTACACACAATGAAAATTTGAAGAAACATTATTAACTGTAATTAGTAACATTTCACTTATCAAGAACCATATAGTAGGATCAGAAAATGTATAGTTTAGTATAAGAAACCCATTAATGGAATTTCAACAGGGCTCAAACATAGTGATGTGATACAGTACTGACACACTGAGAACAGTTCATTATCACACCATGGTGGCAGAAAGTCATATACACTTTTTAATAAAACGTTAAGATTGTATTCCATTTCCACTGGTTTTAATCCCAGATAGGATTATAATGGAGAGAAGATATCCCTTCTGCTGTTTTTTTCATCAGGGGATGTAAATAGTTCATTTAAAATAAGTATTTCAATTCTCTGAAGTGATAACATCATGGAGAAGCCTTTGTCACTTTCATTTTTGTGTTGTTTATGTCACTGTTCGTCATTAATATTGTTCAGTCTATTGTGAGCATGTACCATTTCTTCACTGAATAATTGTAAATGCATTCAGGAGGAGCTGCTCTTGTTGTCAGAGAAGCTGATGGGAATCTACACAAAGAAACATAGCTGAGAATACAGCATGGAAACAAGGCGATCTGTGCAGACTACATCTAAACACACCACAAGTAGGCTGTGCACTCAACAAACAAAAATTGCCTCAGTGCAAGTACAGCTAAGATGATAAGTAGCAGTAAAATGTCAACAAATGACAAATGTGTGCAGGCTGATACAGATGGCATGTCAAACACAGTGCTCACCATCCTGCAGGGCCCATGGTCTCTGCTCTCACCCGAGCCCTGTCAGTCTCCCTGAGGAGCTCCTCTACCGCGCGCCTAGATAGACAAACACAGAAAAACATCAGGGGGTGGGGAGAAACTGAGGACAAAGATGGCACAAAGCCTTAAGGGGGAGCCAAGGGGAGAATAATTTAATTAAGTGAAAGAAAACATAGTGATGCAGAGAGCAGACGAGAAAGTGAATCATTAGTGAGCGGCAGTGTCCTGGTTTGACCCGAGCTGCTGAATCAGCAGAGTCGCCGCACTGAATTAGCCGACCTTTAACCACACAGCACCGGCAGCTAATGGTGGCTATTACAGTAGCGGGGTTTCCTTACAATCACTACACACTCACACTTGTCTTACAACGCAACAGAACAGAACAGCTGTCGACCAAAAATATCCTTCCCTACTGATTGATGGGTGTTACGGGTTCGGAGGAAACACTAGCTACAAGTGTGTGCAAACAGCAGCTGGATACGTTAACTGAGGATAAACAGCAAAAATGTTACGTACTTTTCCAGCTCGTTATCCTCTGCCATCGCGTCGTAAACAATTACACGTTGCAACCTATAGCCTATTAATGCAACACAGTTAATTCATCTAAAATCGATGATTGCACGTTAATTAACGTAACCTCCTTTTTGTTTACCTCTCTGTGAGGTCCTCCCGCGAGGACCCTGTGTTTTTGGCTGTCCTTGGCGATGCCTGATTGTTTACGAAAGCCACTTAACTGGACACAAGTTAGCAAAATCGATTAAATGGGCTTTAAAATAAAAAGAATAAAAAAAGTAGTATTATTTATTTACATGGTCTAAATGAGGAAGTTTTCACTTAAGTCAAAGTAGCACACACAAGTCCTGTATCTTAAGTAAGAACAGGTCCAACACATGGGCTCAAGTATCAAAAGAGAGAGCCAATTATGCACAATGCATTCATCTATGCGCATATACAATATTATTTAGGTAGTTTAATCTTTATTATTGCGTTATATTTTACAGTGTAAAGGAAGCTACTTTGAGAGCATAGCTTTGCAAGCTGCCAATTACTTTAAGCTGGAAAAAAATTGAACTACAGCAAAGTTACCACAGGGAGAAATCCAGTTTGGTTAACTAAAACCACTTAGAAATTGTAGTTTAAAGTATGTTGCAAAAAATGGTCAAATTCACAATATACATGTGATATGAACATATGGAAAGTGCCTACTTGTTGACAGGTCATAACATAAACCAAAAGACCAAAATACCCCACTATCCGTGGGAAAGTGCCAAGATTGTCAGCTTTGGTTTTGTGTACAATAATTGCTTAATTACGACCAAGGTGATCCTGCCTCAGGCTGAGATTCAGGAGGTTTATCCATGGCTTTTGTACATGCACTACACAAAGGTCAAGTGTGTGGTGCGGACTGCCATACTGTCATAATCATATCTACATACTAAAATCTCATGATAATTTTTTAACCATTTATCCTTGTACAATTGTTTGTGGCAGTACAATATAACTATTAATCTTGAGATAGTATAACTATTAAAAAACAAAAGAAAAAACTAATGTACAACATTAAATTTGTGTGAAAAAAAATGAAACATAGCAAGATATGTATCTAAAACAGTAAGTAATAATATTTTTGGAGCAGGCCGTTTGGCAGCCACTCCTAATTTTGCTCTGGATTGACAGCGGCAGACCCCGCCCCTCCCCGTTGACGGACAGCAGTGGGCGGTGCCAGCGCTGCCAAAGGCACGGGGGCGTTTTCGTGCGGGTTTGCGGAACGGTCCGTTGCGGTGAATGCGTGATTGAGGTCCCGCAGCTAATAATCGTCCCCCTTTTTGGGGCCGGAGTGCGCGGCGCGGAGGAGCAGTAAGAATAGGTAATACTACATCTGCATATATTCAGTGCCTGTATGAACGGTGTCAGTGTGTGGCTGGCTTTGCATTGATATTGCCATTGTCGCTTCATCTGTCCTAGCTTTTTCGCTTATGGAGGGGTGGGATGGAGTCAGACAGATGGGAGCAATGATTAAAAAATGCTCTTGTCTAATCAAATGTGTTCAACGCTTACGGGTTGCTTATAGATCATGACACTGCAGTTGGTGCGTTGCCAAGGTAAATTAGGACTATGACAACTGAAAAAATGATTGCAAATCTCAATTAAATCAGTGTCTGTTTTTGTTGTTATCATTGCATGTCTGTCTGACTGTTGTGAAAAAAGCACCCTATTGCAACAGACCTTGCAGAACAGCAGCCGGCCTGGTCTTCCAAGTGGCTAACAGCCTTTCTGGATTTTTTTTTAAGATAAGAGACGACGAGGTGGGGTTTTATGAAAATGTAGGCTAAGCCGACAGGACCTGAGATCTAAATCTGTGGCCTATAACATCATCTCATCTTATTTGAACATGTCATTCCTGCATGTGAGGTAGTCCATGGCTTGTCCTGTGTTGTAAGATTAGATTGTCATTTGTGAAAAAATGAAAAATGAGCAGAGACAGGTGCAGGGCCAAGACTGTTATTTATTAATATAGAAAGCAGTGCAATGACAATAACAGCATGGCCTTGGACTCTCACACAGACACGCGCACACACACACACACACACACATACACATACACGCTGAGATTAAAAGGAAGATATTTCACAAGCATTTGCCAGTCTTCATATGACTTGTGTAAAGGAATCTGTTGCTACAGAGTCCAGCTATGATTAAAATAGATTTAAGTGCTTTTCACGGACGGGGCTCTAAACTGCTGCCACAGTGAAAACCTGAAGACTTTACTTATTGATAAAGGCTATTTGCAGGATCTGGTACCTCAAAAGCTTTTGTGCATGATGTACGTGTGTGTGTTTGGTTTTGCTTGTGTAGACTTATGCTTGCATGTCTACAAGTCTGTGTGTGAGTGTGTGTGTGATGTGGTGATGTCACAGCTTTGTTACAGGAACAGAGAAGCCTTGTGTCCTCATGATTAATTCATGTCCAGCTGCGGGATAGAGACAGAAGCAGCCAGTCACACACAGACAGGAGCACGTACTTAAAGGAGGCTGAAATAAGTAACTACCGGTCCGGTAGCCAAGGAGACAGGAGAGACAGGTTGTCACGGAAATGGGTAGAAACAGAGACGAGATGAAAAAAGCTGCAAAAAAGGAACCAAGGGGGCTCTCATCATCGTCTGTGCTGTCTGACAGGCGTTCAGACTGTACCAGGGAGGAGCAGAGCATCCTGCTGAGAGAAGTGCATCTGTTGTGTGGCTCCTCTGCATCCTTCTCCGGCTACACTCTGAATGTCAAGCCCCACTGAACAGAACAGGCTCCAGGTCGTCATGGAGACAGGAGCAGACCCTCGCTGGAACAGAGGCAGGTAGTCACTGTGGCTTGGCTGGCCTGCTGTGTGCTGAGGCACGCCCTCTGCTGTCCGCTGATAGCATCAGGCCCACAGGGGCTTGGCTAATAGAGGGGCTGAAGGTCTGAATGGCTTTGGATGTGAAACACTGTGGAAGTGATCAGTGCATACAGAGTGCATTAGCTCTGGGGACTCACTCTGCTCGGTGGAGTGCTATATTTCAAGACTTTGCTTTAGGCATGTTCTCTTTCTGTTGCAGAGGAGACTGAGTGCATCTACTGCGCGTGGCCTGAACCAAAAATATCAAGTACGCTGAGGGGAATGTTTAAAGAATTCTCACTAATTTTTTGCCTTTTTTGGTTTTCTTTTCTTTCCTGGACTTCACTGCTTTTCTGCTCCCTCCCATCCTCTCTCCTGTCTTATTTTCTTTTCCTTTTTTTATGCCTCTTATATCCCATTAATCTCTTTCACCCCTCTTCCTATCTCTTTCTCTTCTTCCTTGCTCTGTCTCTGCTCATTTCTTCCACTTTCTGGCACTGTTTTCTCTCTCTGTTGCTTTCCCAATCCCACTTCCTCTGATCTGTGTCCTCTCTCTGCCTCAATCCCAGATAATTCCCTCTCTGTGGAATTGGAAGATTGCAGCAGGCGAGAGCAAAAGAGAGATTATACTGCCAGATTAGTGGACAGGAGCAGCAATACATAATCTCGGCACACTCACTGACACACGCGCACGCACACACACACACACAGTGCCACACTCGATCTCATGCAGACACGTGGGCCCACGTGCACAAAGCATTTGCCACATGAATAAATGCACGAGCACATAATCAGACACTTGTTGTTTTTCTGAAACAGCTGTTTAACCCTCTTGCTTTGCCCTCTGACCTGCAGGGTGATGTGCCATCAGCCACTGGGGGGCATCTGTCCTCTCTACAGCCTGTACATCCTCTGAAGTTTATGGGATAGGAGTGTGTGTGCCCCTTCCCAACACTGCAGCCCCACTGGAGTCATTTGTGCCAAAGCTGAGTTGTGTTGAAGGAGCGGAGATGGGCAGCCCAGGCTGCGAGGTGGGTCTAGCTGTGCCGGTGGAGCCAGCGCTGGAGGCTCTGTGCCCTGAGTGTGGCCAGATCCACCGCACCTGGGAGAACCACCTTTACAACTACCGCCTGGAAGTGGACGATGACCTGGTGTGCCACATCTGCCTGCAGCCGCTGGTGCAGCCGCTTGATACACCATGTGGACACACCTTCTGCGCCCGCTGCCTGCGTAGCTTCCTCCAGGAGAGGGACTTCTGCCCTCTGGACAGGACGCGGCTACAGCTACAAGCGTGCCGCAGATCCAGCATACTGGTTCACAAGCTGCTGGACAAGCTGTCCGTGTCCTGTCCTTTGACCCCAGTCTGCTCCCTCAGCATGCCACGATGTGACCTGGAGGCACACCTCAAGCACCGGTAATAAAGCTTACATACAGACATGATAGATGGATACTTGCTTGAGAGCACGAGCTGTGGGCAAACATACACACACACATACAGATCAAACACTATGCATGCATGACTGGCAGGTTTTCATAAGCTTTATATAGGTAATGCAGCTTTACCGTACTTGTGTTGGCGTCACTCAGATGAGTATTTTTTTAAAGCAAAAATGCCATAAATGAGCAGTTTCTAGGTTTAGAGGAGTGAATATTTGCTGGTTTACTTTGTTCTCTATGGTTGTAAATGTAATAGTTTTGGGTTTTGATCGGTTGGTTGGACAAAACAAGCAGTTTGAAGACCTCACTTTGCACTCTGGGAAATTGTTACAGGCATTCTCTCAATTTTCTGCCATTTTATTGGCTAAATAATCCACCTATTAACGTAAAAAGTAATTGACAGATTAATCGATAATGAAAATAACTGTTCGCTGCAACTCTAGTTGCCTTTGTATAACTTTAAAACCCATGCCAACCATCCATCATGACCTGTGGCCTGCTTCTGGCAGGAACATTTGGAGATGTCATTAATCTTAGTCCAGATCAGTTAAACTTTCCCGTCATCCTTAACCTTAAAGGTTTCCCTCTGTCCGCACGCTTTGGCTTTTGGCCCATTTGGACCAGGTGCTGTGAGACCCTGAGGGGATTATTGGGCTGTAGGTCATGTGACGGGGGATTAGTGGTTCCCTACCACAGTCATGGGTTTGCTGACCAGGAGCTCCATGTTCACACTCTGCAAACATGTTGAGCAACTTCAACACCAGAGACCTTTTCAACCATTTCTTCTGTGAGACAGCCAAGGGCAACCCTGGCCTGTGGTGAGTCGAATGCAGTGGGATGTGAGGTCATAGCGTGACTTGG